GTGATGATACAGCTGTACACCAGGCAAAAGATAAATGACATTTGAAGATGACTTTTAGTGAGGTACCAAACATGCTGCAGTGGGTACACAGCTTTGCTCTCATCATGTACAGAGCAAGATTAGCCCTAACAGATCTGATAGTGGCCCTTAGGATGAAGTCTGAAGTCTGAATTTTAGAGTTTCCTTTAAGTTTTGAAGCTCCTTTCCAATAAATCAAGCTCTGTTAAAGAAACAGTCACACACCCTGGTATATATGTATATATTTTTCATTTCTCTGTGAAAACCAAATGCATATTTGTCACTTAAACAACTGAATCAGGATATACTGAATGAACTGGTGTTGTTAAATGGCACCAAGGGTAGTTAAAGACTGTGTGGCAGCTGCTCTGCAGATACAGCTTTTCCAGCCTGAGCCCCCGCTAGCGAGAGAGAAGCAGCTCACATGGACTTGGCACTGATTTATTCATATCACATCTCCATGTGGGCGAGCTGAGCCTTCAGCGTTTGGCGTCCTGAGCGTTGGGTACTTTCAAGGACACGCCACAAGTAAGAAACACAGAGGGGCAAGATGATGTTATTTCCATTTAAAACATCAGCCTATATGTAATAAGGAGAAAGAATAGTTCTAATAACACGGTTGATTACTGTCAGAGTACTAAAAGGGAGGTGTATTGGAAAAGGTATTATACAGCCCACTGTGCTTTGCATAATCATTTTAAAAGCTGTTCAAGATATCTTCCTGCCCTTATCCAGAAGAAGCTGGAAATCATGTGGAAAGCCAGGGTTGTCAGGACTGCTGACCTCAAGACTGGGCACAGCACACGATTACACACACAGGTGGGTGCCCAGGGTGCAGCCACAGGCTGAGTCAGTAGCATGTATGGAGTGCAGAGACTAACTCACAGGGATGTGTTGTGAAGATGCTCCTGTCATTTGTTCGTGATGTCTCCCATAATTTGAGTATACTGGCTGCCTTAAAAACATCTTTCTAAAACCTTTCTGTTGCCCCATGAAGCACTCAGAAAGTGATCTCTGATGCCCAGCCAGAGCACAGACAATTTTCACATCAGCTAAAATCAAAAATATTAGGGAATTTATTGAATTGTATGCCCAAAAATTTGAGGAAAAACCTAAGTTACCATTTTGGGGACTCTTATCTTAAACAGCTTTTGAGGTTTAAATAGCTTTTGAGGTTAAGCTTTTGAGTATTTAAGAACAAAAGGAAAATGGTGAAAGTGAAAGATTTCATAGGACAAGGTATTTCATTTGACCAGAAACAATAACTTTGTTCTGGTTAGAAACTGTTTCCATTAGGATCTGAACTCCTTTTGCTCACTTAATTCTTATCTCAGCCAGCAAACTTTGCAATCCTAAGTGCTAACTCCAGCTCCCACCACGTGGCATTACCCGCATGGGTTTCCTTAATGCATTTTTTTGCAGTCATTTTCCCAGCTCATCTTTGATTTCCCAGTTGTATCCAGCAGCTTTGCTGCAGTCATTCCAGAACAAAGTGGGTAATCAAAGAGAAACGAATCTCTCTGCCTCTGGAAACAGCGGTGGATGCAACCAGAGTCAGCAGAGATGTCCCTTTTAATTATGAGCTTCTAACTGATGGTGCATTTTTGCTGCAGAGGCTTCAAGAAGGACCTGCAAATCCTTTCATCCCAGATGCAGATATGCTAAATATGTGTTTCCCTGGGACATGAACAGAGGACTCATGGCCTGCTGGGCCCCTGGCACCATTTCACCAAGCAGGATGGGAGCCAAGTTCTTCACCTCTGCGTAGGTTCAGCATCTCCCCCTCTGCAGTAAATAAGGTTTCTCATAATGTACATGGAGAGGATCCTGCCTTCTCTCACAAACTCCCTGTTATGATGGTGTTTCCTTGATGAAACAGCCTCCTTCAGAGCTGCTTGCGGAATCAGTTGGTCTGGGCTGCGGGCTGGGGAGGGATGGTGGGTGGGTGCCTTGTTGTTTGTGTAGGAGCATTTCTGCTGTGAGAGAGGAGATTTATGTTGGCATAATTGTCTAAGAGTTTGGAAACTGAACCAGCTTATAGACAGGGTCATGGGGCAGCTTCTCTTGGTGTTTCCAGACCAGTATTTCTGGGAGTCATCCTAGCTGGTCACTTGGCAGTCTCCTTCCCTTGTCCTTTGGGCCATTTCAGATGAACCACCTCATCCTGGAGAGGCAAAACGGCATGTGAATGGGCCCTGCACAGTACCGCGACTCACATTTGTGCATCCAAAGGAAGGAATTGGAGCTTCTTTCTATTGCAGCATCAATCCTTGGGAGGTGGCAGTGGTGGCCATCCGAGATGCAGTAATTCCTCTTGTTGCTCAAAACCTTCCTGCAGTCAAAACCTGTCTCTATTTTTGTCGTTAAAAAGATGGAAAACAATATAAAAATCACAGTAACATTCATCTTTCTAGATTTGCACTGATTACCCAGACATTAAACTGTGTGGGTTTTTTTCATTCAGTTTACATTATATTACAGTCTTGGTTTGCTTTTCTGTGGCTGCTTTCAAGTCTTTCATGAGTTTCACATATACAGCACAAAGGGCCTCCATTTCTCCCCTATAACTTTTATAGAAGATATCTTATATCGTATATAAGTAGAGATCAGGTGAAACCCATCTCTTCCAAACTGGTGTTTGGAGGTGGCAAAATGCAGTCTGCATGGCAAGGTCGCTCAGCTCTGAAAAACTCAATGTTGAGGAATTACTCAGTTGCAATAATTGGTCATTAGGGGTGATCCAAAGGCAGACATCACTTTATACACATTCAATGTTCTGTATAAAGAGCTTATGGTAAACTTTTTGAAGGTGGTAATAAATAGTAAGCTCCAGCAATCCCTTCAAGGGATCAGTTCTCATTTTTAATGTGGAAACAGAGAATGACATGACAGCAACTCAGTAGGATAAGAATTGACTTTCAAACCAGTTTTTCAGTGCAATGCAGAGTGAGGAAAAAGACCAGGAAATATGTAAGTAAAAATTTCAAGTAAAATCTATGCATTTGTGATTTATTGCAGACTATGGAAATGTTTTCCCTTCACTTATATGTTAGTGATAGAGAGCAAAACCAGACACTAAGGTAAGAAACGCACAGTGATAATAGCAGGCGGGATTTGCATCTTCCAGGCATTTGCTGTGGGTACATTAATCTATGGGCATGTTTGTATTTTAAAGTTATTTTGACATATCAGATAATCTGATTTGGTTCCATTTTTGGTATGCACAGGTCAGAAGATGTGTTGCATCCTAAATAATATTCTGATCAGAGGCTTGCCATTAATAATGCATTAAGAAGCGTTTGTTTCTGTTGATCATTCACTGGAAAGCAATCTTTATTACAGATGTTATGGTAATAGAGCAATTCCTGAGAGCCAGTGCAGCCTGTACTGGTTTATAAGTAAAATAAACCCAGTTAATATTATTGTAGAAGAAAAAAATCAGTGTATAGAATGCAACCATTGCAGTGAGGATTTATGGCAGGAGGTTGGCTCTAGAGCCCCCTCCTCATTCATGTGTCTCAGCACCACATGATGCTGTCACAGACACATGTCCCCATCTGGTCCTGTTCCTGCTCATCACTGCCTGCCTCGTGGCACTCACTGGGTGCTGTAAAACAACCTGTGCTGGGGCAGGCACCTCCTTGATGCCATTTTGGTGTGTTCATGGATGCAGCCAACACAGGATAAACTGGTTCTGAGACCTAGAAAGCATTTTGCATCCTTTTTTTAAAGTAAAAGCTGTTTTTTCTACAAATTATAACAATACATCAGTAGTAAATACAGGGCACCTGGGATGAACAGTGTGGTCTTGTGATTAGTCTGAAGAGCCTAACACACATTGGTCTTTGGTATGTTTGTAATGCTGCCTTTACTACTACCATCAGGCAGTGGGAAGGAAACTCCATTTCAGAGGGTTAAAACTAAAGCTTTACATGCCAAACCAAAACAAGACACTTCACGTCCCCTTCACTGTGCTAGAAGTTGATGCCAATCCAACTTTGCTGAGGGTTTGCCAGCAGAGCACTGAGGACGCAGCCCAAAATGCAACAAGGTGTATGTAACCTGGTGCTTTTCAAGCACTTTGTTCAGTCCTTTCTCTTGACAGATGTGGGATTTCATATCCTTGCACTCCTTATCCTACAGCTACCCCAACCTATAGGAATAATACTCAGAATTAAGGAATATTGTGTCATAATGCTGGGTTTGGTATTTTCTGCAGGCTTTCCTGTCTTCTCTACTGATACATCATCACTTTCATTCTTGATAGTATTTCTTTTTATTGCTTATTTTTTTCTAACTCAAAGCATACATACAGAGCATCTACATCCTTTATAACATTTAACTCTATTTTAAAATAATAATAATATCAACTCAGAAGAATACTGTAACTGCTTTGAAGTTTCAGGTTTGCGGTGTCTCATTTAATGGGTGACTTATTTAATACCCCCTCCCTATGGGTGTCCAGCATTTCCTGCAGAGTCAGTGCCACTAATTATCCCAGAGGACTGTTTGCTTCTGCAAATCTGGAATCCTTTCAGGCACTAAGGATAGAAATTATTTGTGTTACCTCCAGGGGCTGGTGGGGTTTGGGTTGGCTTTTTTCCCTCTTTCATCTGCCCAGAGCTGTTGCAGACTGATTCCTCTGTCTGTACATTGCTCTATATATGTGCTTGTGTGTAAAATAATAGAGAGTGACTGACTACAATGCATGCATTTAAGCTACTCGGCTGAAAATTACTGAGCATTAAAATCCACTGGGAATCACAAGACTTCTAAATTAGGAAAGCACATGTCAGTCAGTGTGTGGAAATGAGTCCTCGTACAAGAGTAGCTTTCAATAGGAAGAATGAGTATTGTTCCCTGGAGTACATCAGTCCTAGTTTGGCCACTCGGTACCAGCTTTTACTATTTCTCTGGAAGCATTCATTGCCTTTTGCTATTATTTTTTCCCTGTCTTTTGTTCCACTGTGCATTTCTATTAGATATGTCTCACGGGCCAGCTATCAAGAGACACCCTGCTGTGCTGTGACGAATGAAGGCATTTTCAACCATAAACAAGGTATTGTGGGATTGAAAAGAAGCACGGACAATGACAAGTCCTGGACAGCTTGTAATTGTTTAACTGTATTTTTATTAGATTGGGCAGTGACACAGGAACACTGAAAAATGGGCTGATCTGCCCCAAGGTTGAAATGACCAGAATGCTGTTGGGTAAATGGGGGACTTTGGGAACGATGGCACTTTTGTATGTGTCAGGTGTTGTCCAATCCATCAGTATATATTTTTCCATGATAAAAGAGTGTATTTTTACAGTGTTTAAATGACTTACAAGTCTGTCCCATCTCAAAAATAGAAAGCACCTAGAAAATCTGTGGGGATGAGCTGAATCCTATTGACCATCAAGCTTTTTTATTCTCACGTGGGCATGCATTGAAAATGGTAGTTCTATACTTTCTTTGAATTAAAAATGGTACAGAATTTATCTGGAAAATCTGTTTGGCCACAGGGGATTAGTTCATCATCAGTGACACTGTTTATGTCTGGAAGAGCTTAGCAGGGTGGTAGAAGACTCTCAGTATTTGGGCTGTGTGGGCTGACTTAGTTCATTCCGCATTTGTAGATCCTTTTTGTTGCTGCTAGAGAGTCAATGTTTAAAGTCATCATCTTGATTCATTAGTAAGGTATGCAAGAATGTTATCTAAGGGTTTATTTTATCATTCTCAAGTTGAAATGCTCCAATCACAGTGGGTAAAGGCAGAGGGCTAAGCAGGGATCATGGGAAATGGGGTCTCCAGTTGGATGAATCAACCTGGTATTCCCCTTGCACAAGGTGTTTGTCCGTTGACATGACGAAACAGTATCCTTCTACAAGGTCTGAAACTACCTTGTATCTAAAGTACTAATGAGATGTCTGTCTATGTAAGACCAGTAAATGAATTAATAAATGCAAGGCATGACCACAGGACCCACCTACTTGCGTTTTGAGTGTGCTCTGTAGGCAGCTGCCCCTAGTTCCATTCATCTCCATCCTGTATATCCAGAAAGATCCTGTGGGAATTAGGGAAGTATTGAGGAGTATCTTATCTGGGAAATCAAATAGAATATCTCTTCTGTTCCAGAATCACTTTGGTGTGTCAGGCTTACCTGAAACCAGTGAGGTTTTTAAGAGCCTTTCCATTAACTTTATGGAAATGGCTTTTCATTTAGTCTGCTCTGCTTTTCCAGGTATTGCTTCTTGATTCATTTCCTGGAAAACAGAGTAGCGTTCTCTGTATTTTCAGTTAAAAATAGAAGAACAGAGGTAAGTTCTTTTTAAAATGTATGCCTGCAATCAAGACATGGGGGTTTTTGTCTTTGCAAGGGAAACTCATGCTCTGATTGCGGCCAGCAGCAAATGGTCCCCACTGAGAAGCTTAGAACCATCCTTAAAGCAAACAAAAAGGAAATCCAAACCTAAACTATTGTTGTTGCTATCCCATAAATAAATAAATAAGCATTTTCCTCCTTTTTATAGCTATGGACATACACAGATATATGTTGGTCTCCCTCCATTTGGCTCAGCAGCAAGGACATAACACCAGTGCGGGCTCAAGAAGAACCAGCGTCATTTTTACGTCTCACACCCTATTTCTTTGCAATTTATGCTGCCGTCAGTCCCTACCAGACATTTGCTTTCGCCTGGAGATGGAGTATCAGCCCAGCTCCCATTTATCTGGAGCGCTGGCTACGCAGGCTGGCTCGACACGTTAATTCAATTTGTGCTTCTCAATTCATACTCTTTCATTTACGATCAAATATCAGGAAAGGTTACAATTAATCAGAGCACGGGAACAGAAGCTGGCGAAGCTAATGATGTATTGCTGTGCGTTGCTGGCTCTGGAGGGGAGTAATTGAGGTCCTTGTGCTACAGAAGACTGTTATTAGTAAGTAAAAATTATCAAAGGAAAGCATCCTGCACCCATCTCCCATTCTGCACTCTGAATTTTCTTTAAAGTTCTTAAAAATGAAGCATTTTATTGGCACTCCTGGCTGTAACCGGTTGTTTTGGCTGGGTGGTGGGATGAAGGTTTGCAGATGATACTCAGTGTTCATGAAGGCAGTTTTTAGATGCTAATAGCATGCTGTCCCTGTGGGAAAAGGGCTCTGCTGCTGGTTTGCTCAGCAGAGAAACCACAGGGAATCCCTGCAGAAAAAGTACAGGCTGGTGGACTTAACACAGTGTGCGCCTCCTAATTGAAAATGAACTAATTGCTGGTTGTTTCAAAAGCAAACATGTTGCTGGGCTGAGTGAGACAATGAGCTCCGAGTTCTCCCCAGGGAATATCCATAGCCCAGCTACGTGCTCAAGCAGCAGCAAGGTGTGCATAAGAAATACTTGCAGGCTTCCCAGGATTATGCAGCTGCTGGACGCAGATGATCTCCTTGAGTTAATGGGACACAGCATCTGGCTGCTGGAATTCTGTAATTAAAAAGTATAGGGCTTATGTAGCTATGCTAAACAATCCTTAAAAGGTTGGTTTTCAGTTAAAAACACCCATCTCACTGTTATTCTAGATACAAACTTTATATAGTAATTGTATGGTTTTATGTATGGCTGAATATCACCATGCTTTGCTCAGTGTTAGTCTGTGAGATGGCAAGTTGAAGTGTTGTTGTTGTCAGTGCTTAGTGGATGCATTTGGGACTTTGGCAGGTTTCAAGATTGCAGCCAAAATAAGCCTTTCCAACTTTCCTAGTTGGAAATCTAAATTCCCCTTAACCTAAAATAGCTACTGGGAGGGGAAGAAAAAAGTGGCTCTGACTTTCTCATCGGGAGCAGAGTCTGGCACTAAGGCAGAGTTGAATAGACTCTTATTTGCTGGCTTGACTGGATTGCTCTTATTTAGGATATGATAAAAGATACAGAATACAATTAATTTTAGGATTGAAGGCATCGTTTTTCCCTTTTATTCCAGCTGCTACCCTCTTGCTCCAGGATAAGGCTGTAGGATACTTTTTTTCTGGAAAGATACCTTCATTTGTGGCTGGGATGCAGCATGATGGTAATGCAGTAGCTGGCAGAGTGGATTTACTTTGCTGGTTCGTGTCCCACACCTTGCACAGGCAATGTCTTGGACACAGGGAATTATCTCTGCATGTGGGGACCTGATCTGTCATTGAAAGTCATGCATGAAATTTGGACCAGTGTGGGAGTCCGTGACTCTGTGCATAGGAAGGAGTGAAATGAAAGGGAGCCGAGTCTGGGATAGATCTAACAGGCAAGGTGTGCTGATTAGCATGTAATTAGGTTTGTTAGGCACTACAGTAAACAGTGTTAAATGCAAAATGCAGCAATTGCTCCTGAGAGCACCCTTTCAGCATTGCCTCGTTCCTGCAGCAGCTGGATGGAGCTGTGTTAGAACTGTTCGGCAGGCACCAGCAGAGCCGGCGGTGCTCCTTTCTTGGGCAGAAGCTGGAATAGCACCAATATCACCATTATAAAAAGGTTTTGAGTAGCTGTATCTGCAGAGCATGGCTCACACATTTCTCCTGCTATCCCTACTCCTTTCACATTCCCCAACGGCACAGCTGGGACCAGCACTGCTGTGGGTTGCGCAGCTAACGTCAGCAGGAGAGGTGGTGAGACAGTCTGATTTTCCCCACCAGTATTGGATTTTCTTCCAGTAAACTTCCATATTTTTCCTCCGTAATGGCTTTGGTAAAGCAAGTCCCTTGTGCCACAGTTGGACTGTGGGTCGGAGGAGCCCCTCAGCATCACAACCCTGAGCTGAAAACAGACTTATCTCCTGGCTCTCCCACAGACTTGCTTTGGTCTCATGCTGTTGCATTTATTAAACTTTGCTGTGACTGAAGGACTTCCCCCTTCAAACCCCCAGCTTACAAACAGAAGGATTGTGCTGCATCATTTCAGTGTAAGAGTTGGTAAAGTCTTTCTGTAGAAAAACCCCATTGAAGCCTTGTAATGATGAGTCCTGGTTTTGATTCCCCTTGAAGCTAGCTCAAGCCCACTGTCATCAACAGTCGCTGTAGTTAGAACAGGCTCTCCCAGCCTCCTTGTGTTGACTGTCACCTTGTACCGCATATGTGGTGTTGAAGTGGGCCAGAGCATTCATTGGCAAAGCACTTGCACAGGACAGACATCCTGGTTGTGCTCATCCCCACAAAAATAGCAACACGCCATGAGTAGGATACCTCTAATTTCCTCTCGTTCTGTGGGGGTGAGCACAGGAGGTGCTGGACGGAGGGATGGCATTTGCTGAGAGATGTGGCACAACCAGCAGTACCTTGGAGGCTGTCAGGAGGAATTAGTTAAGGATGAGTACTCTGGTGTGGGGAGGATGGGGTAAGGATGGCACGTGTGCTTCCCTTTGCCTCTGCTCAATACAGGCAATTGCCCTGTTGTCTGTAGGATGTTTTCCTAACTAATCCCATTATGAAATTAGGGTTTCTTAACAACTGTGAGAGGATTGCTGGTTTTTGACAGAGAGTTGAATGGATAGGTGCCTGAATGAACGTTAAGTTCATAACATTTTGCGCTCTTGATAGTAATCTCATAGCACTTTTGTTGCACACATGTTATCTGGCATCCTGGAAAGGTTCATCATTTTTCTACAAAGCACTTGGGTACCTCTTATTCCTGAAAGTATCTGATAAGCCTTAGAGAACTTCCTTGTTTATTCACTTGCCCAGGATGTTTCCTGCTTCCACACCTGGTTAAGTGAGTAAATGCTTCATTTTTTGTATTGCAGCAATAAAGCTATGGCAAAATTAAGTCATCTCTCCTTTTTGGAGGCCTGAGGACTAAGCACGCTAGTGGGGACTGAATCAGAGCTCTCACAGGCTTGGCTGCCCCAAATGCACATCCTCACACAGCTAAGGAAAACAAGGAGCATCGTTTCCATTCTTTGGGGAAGGCAAATGAACTTCCCTTGCAATTGCTGTGTATATTAAAGTTATTTAGAGGGACCACGGTAAAGAGAGATCAGCTTTGCTTTGCAGTGGAATGGAGTGACCTTGCTGGCCGATGGAGCAGTGCACATCATTTAATATTGATACCCTTCAGAGCTGGTCAAGGCTCTGCTCCTTCTGGTAGGACTAAGCAGCTGTTTGCTTGAGAGGAGCCCAGGAGGGCTCCTGCTCTGCTCCTGTGGGTCTGGGGCTGCTATTGCCAGGTTTCCTGGTCACCTTCCACAGGCACAGCCCCACAGGAGATGCTCTCCAGCCACTGAGATGCATAGCATGTGTGCATTTGCCCCCCTCACTGTGCGAGGTGCCAGTATCCCTGTCTCTCCTGCTACAGCTTCATGGTCAATTTAAGCTGATCTAAGCATGAGCTGCAGTCAGAGGAGGGCAGGTCCCACTGCCCAGACCTCAGACAACATCCCAGGGCAAAAGTATGGCCTTGGCATCAGGTTTTAGACTGGAATATTCTCCTGAGAAAGTAAAGGTCTTGCTGGGCCAAATTTCACATTTGGTATTGAAACAAGAGTGTACAATGCATCCAAGCAGTTTAGAAACAGGAGTAATATCTTACTGAGTGAATTGTTGCATGTTTTTAAAAGGCAATACACAGTGTGCCAACCGATGTGCTTTTACTTACCTGATGTTGTCTGGGGCTCTGGAGGACTTCAAGCGTCCAACACCTGCATTAGGTTGCAAGTCCAGTGGGAAACACTGTGAGTACTGGCATCGATCAGATGAAGAAGTACATGTCTGGAGCTGATGGTTTAAAATGTGACTCCAATAGTTCTCATAGATTCACATCCCACAGGGTGAATGAAATCAATCCAGTGCCACTGATCTGCAGCCGGCTGTGGTTTGTGGAGCCCCATGGGTAAGCAGTGAATTCAGCAAAGTACTGACTGAACTGAGTGAACTGCTGGCTGCTTCTGTTTGAGCTTGAAAATAAATAGTCTTTGGACAGAGACCAATTGTGGTGGCTTTGGGTTGGGCTGGAGGGTATCCGACATGCCACCAACAAGGCAAATAGATGATGATGCTGGAAGTGGAAAAAGGGCCGCATACCCAGGTGATGCTAAGAGGTTTCAGGAGGGGAAGGTGAGAAAGATATGCAAGTTAACAGAGATAGAGACTGTCAAAAGGGCAGGAGATTTTAAGGGAGTTCAGAGAAGGGGATAAAGCAGAGGAAGGTGTAGAAGATGAGACCCAAGAAGAAAGGCCAATGGAGCAAGTCTGCTCCGTGTAAAGACAGTATGCACAAGGGGACTTTCAAACAGCCAGCAGTTAATTCTCAAATAATGGACTTGATCTTTAAATAAACCAGTAAAAGGTAATGAGGGTGGAATAAACACCTGAGTTATCATCCCACCTTCTGCAGCAGCAACACAACTGTATTTTCTTTCACGAGCTTCTCCTCTCCACCTCCAGAAACATAAAGTCAGGGCAGCACTTTTAGAGCTGGGTCTCTGCTGTGATACAAGAGGTATTACAGAGCTGCTGCCTCTTCACTTAGCTGCTGTCTCAGACAGATGCTGCTCAAGGACTTGTGAAGTTCTGCTTGAAATGACCACGAGATCAAGGTGGAGAACTGTCCTGAGGCAGCAGGCAGCAGGCAGGGGGCTTTTCCAGGACAGGATGGTATTCTGTTGCAAAGCAACAGGACCTCTCTGTGGTTCCCTGGCACCAGGAATTTCTCTGTGCCTGATGCAGCAGGTTTCTGGAGTCCTTCAGAAAGTCAGTTCTGAATTTGCTTTAATATAATCATTAGGCTCCACTTGTTAAGGTCAGGACCAACAAACCCAAGGATTAATTCAGATTGTGAGTGTATTGGCTATTTCCAGTGCCAACAGAGTGAGCAAATACCTTTATCCCTTTCAGTTTGCCTCTGAAACCTCTCTTGCCTTGCCTGTCAGCCTGTGTTCCCTGTGTGTCCTGCAAACCCTCCTGCTGCCTTCCTCAGGAGGAGGTAAAGCAGACTGGAGGAAGGCAAACAAACCCACTCTTGCCAGGAAATAACAGCTAAAGGGTTGACCACAACACTTACTTTGTGTAGAGTAAGTGCTGTAATGATTAGCTTTACCAGGCAGCCAGTTCAACCCAGGTCTCTCCCAGTGGTGCACAAGCTGCTCCCATTTCCTCCAGCAGCCTCCGGTTCCTTGCTTGTACAGCTTTGGAGGGACTCCTCCACATTGCCTGCACAAAGACCAAAGGAGCTGACCCTTCCTTCTGGACCTTACAAGGAGTGAGGCTGTTGCCAGCGAGCTGTACCCACCCAGGCATAAACCCAGGCACTTCAGGCATGGGGCTCTCACAGCAAATCATTTCTCTCCCGAAGAAGTCATGCCATGTAAATGTGATGATGATAGCAGCTGATACATGGTATTGTTTTTAAGCGGGACCCTTTATGAATGAAGATAAAGGCCATTTGACCAGGTTGGAATGAGATCTGAGCTCTCTGTCTGTCTGCATCTCTGAAATAGCACAGGAATAATCCCCCTTTCACTGCTGTTGGAGGAGATCTAGATATGAACATAGCGGGGCCAGGCTTTCATCTGTATGGATTGCCCTTTTTCCAAGACCTGGTGTATAGATTTAAGATGGAAAGCTGGGTGTGCATTTGCTCTTGTGGTGTGTCAGAGTACACTCACCACTTACACCGTGTGCTGTCCTCCAAGCAAAGCCATGCATTGCTGCTAGTATTGCTGTGAGCTTTCATAGAACACAACTCCAAGTATGAGCAGATAGCTCAGAGAGGAGTAGAAAGCAGGACCTGGGGCTTTCTCTCCTTGGAGTAGAGTCATTTCCTTGCTCCATAAGGTATTTTGAGCATGTTTAGAGAATGGATTAATATCTCAAAATCTCAGATCCTGTGAGGGGAGGTCAGATATGTGCTTTCCTTGCATAGATCTCAAAGCCAGTGTGCGTGGGGTAAAGTTCATGTGGGTATTTGGCTAATGACATCTACTGAAATTTTCTATGCAGTTGAGAGTGGCTCCGGGTTGCAACAAAGCATAAAGATGTATTTTTCTTTCCTCTTTCCCCGTGACTTCTCCAGATCTTTCCACCATGTTCGGGAAGAAGAAGAAAAGGCTGGAAATTTCCGGGCCCTCCAACTTCGAGCACCGGGTTCACACTGGCTTCGACCACCGGGAGCAGAAGTTCACGGGACTACCTCAGCAGTGGCACAGCTTGCTGGCAGACACGGCCAACAGGCCAAAGCCTATGGTGGATCCCTCATGCATCACTCCCATCCAGCTCGCTCCTATGAAGGTATTGTGCAAAGTCACTCTTGAACTTCCTAACCTCCCTTTAATTGTATGTAACCTTAATGAAGCAACACAAATAGCGACTGTCCTGGGAGACAAGCATGGCTGGGGGGTGTGCAAGTACAGCAAGAGCTGTAAATCCAAATATTTAATAGTAGAGCTGCAAGGAAAAGGAGTTTTATATATATAGAACTTGAATGAATGTCCCAGAAGACTGTGAGTCACGGTCTTGCAGGGCTTCATGCTGCTGGGCTGCAGAAGGAAAAGCCACAAGCCCTGGTGGAGGCCCAAAACGATGCAGCATAAAGTTCCTTGATAATTAATTTAGGAATGGTGCTTTAGGCAAAGGCAGTTTTGGAGCAAGGGAGAGAGGGAAAAGTACACCAAAGAAATGAAATTGCTCATTCAGCCGGGCAAGGAGCTCAGGGAGGGATCTCATTGCCACCCACTTCTGCCTCGAGCAGTGATGGTGCTGAGCTTCTCAGTAGGCAGTAAAAGGAGGAGAAACAGCCCTAGGTTGTGGCTTGGGAGGTTCAGGCTGGACAGCTGGGAAAGAGAACTGGGCTTGGAGGACAGAGAAGCACTGGGCAGGCCACTAGTGTGGCTCTGGGATCCCCATCCTTAGAGGCTCAGGATTCCAGTAGACAGATTTGCCCCAATTTAGCAGTGTTTCTGGGATTGCGCATCCTAACATCCCACTAAATCACACCTCTGTGATGGTGGTAGCCTACATCTCACTGTCATGCAGCTGCGAAAGAAATCTAGGATTTCATTTTCATGTGGGTTTTTCTGCAGCAATGGAAAATCACATAATCCTGAGAATGCAGATCCTGTACTTATATTTGATAGTGCTCTTTGCTAAATTTACATTTACAACCTCTCCTGAAGGACACATCACTTCCTGATCAGGACTGCTGGGTGTTGCTACAGGACAAAGGGATAAAACCAAAGTCTTGATTTTTTGCTGTAAGAAAATGTCTTACTCTATAATAGAGGCCCACAATACTGAAGAAAAAAAAGTAGGCATACCTTTTCCTGCTAGGGGAGGAGAGTGACTTTGTTCCACAGCCCTTCTTAGCACCAGAAATATCCCTGGATGTCTTTTCCTCAGTTCTAAAGCCACAAATCCATAAGCTTCAAAGGTTTTAAAACTTTATCAGCACCATATAGGCAATACAACTGTGGGTCTAAGCCTACAAAATCACATGTAGAGTCCCATTGAAGCACTGCACACTGCAGAGTATGAGGGATCAAGCCCTAAATGAGTAATTGCCACATTTTGAAGTGGAGAAAATCACTGTCAGTTGTTTCCAAGAAATTGTCAGTTCTTGCTTTTCTGTCTGTATATCAGAGGTTTACATACGTCTGTATACTGGGGTCTATATATGTGCATATTCCAGGGATGCGCTTCTGAACTAATACATCCTGTGCCAGGAAAGGGCTGGGGCCAGGAGCCAGAATGCATCTTGCACGCTGAGCTTATTCTTCCAGTGTGGCCTTCAGCCATGGTGGTCCTTGATGCAGCTGTGCATCCTATGACATCTTCCCAGGATGCCTGTGCTGGGGACAGGATTCCTGCAGCCTGGTACCCATCTCAGCAGTGGCCATGTGGCTGAGCACAGATGAGCCCATCTGCAGAGGCACCAACAGGGAGGATGTTCTGCATAGATGGAAGGTGGGAATTTGGAAGCAGATCACCCAAATTGCAGTTAATTGCATGCCACTACTCCAAAGATATAGTTAGGCAAGGAAATGGAGTTAAAACTGAAGGATTCAAGAAAATGTGCTTTCACCCTCCAGTTACTTTCCCTATCTGAGTCTCAATTACAGCCTATTGAAATGGGCCTCCATAATCGTGTGAGAAAAGACAGGTTAGTTTTAATAGCAACTGAGAGGCATTGAATGTCATCTGAGAACTTGCTTTTAACTCCATTGCAGGATACTGTTTTCCTGTATATTTAATAAGAATTGACATGCCTTGTTTTGATATAACTTATGGAGAGAAACTCAGTTGCAGCCCCTTCAAAACTGAGAACATCTAATGTCGCTAAACTAGTTCAGCACAATCATTTGATTTAGATGGAATTCTTTATGTGTGTTTTCAGCTTTTCTCTTTTCCACCCAACAGTTGATAGTTTAATTAACCCACTTGTGAATGCACTGAGGTGGAGCAGAAGAAGATTTGTAATCACATCCTGAGTCACAGTATTAAGGCAGGCTGAGGCATTTGGCCAGAGTTAGTTCGTGCTGTGGTTTCAGGTCATACAACAGCTCTGTAACTCCCCTGTTCTGCACTCCTGAGTTATCCTCTATTCAATTACTTCAGTATTGACTACCTGTATGGTGTGAGGCAGCAGTGTTCCTGCTAACAGATGCTCCTCCGTGACTGAGGAGTAGCACAGCTGATAGAGGTGGACTTTGAGAGCACGAATCTTGGTTTTGAGGCAGAACTGGTGTTTGCTTGCTTTGGGCTTCACCCAGAGCTGAAGCAGGGGAAGGGAAAGACTCTCTTCTGTAGGTTTTGCATCTTTCGTGGTAAGTGGTGTCTGGTTCTCAGTCTGCAAAGCAGATAGGAGCTGATGGTACACAGTGAATCCCTTTGGGTAAAACCAATAAATGATAAGTATTCTCACTGCTCCATCTGTATTTGAAGGCAGCAGCAGTTATGATGAAGAGGCAGTGCCCTGGCCTCCTGGATATCCTGGGGAAGTCATTGCCATGCCTCTGCATTCACTGGGATGAAAGACTTGTAGTGCTTTTGCATGTGGTAGGCGGTAGCTTGTCATGGTAATACCAGCGTTTGAATCCAAGCCTGAGCTGACTGGACAAATCCATTCATTTCAAATACTAGCAGAGACAATAATGGGATTCCCCTGCTCAGTGTGGGTGACCCAGATACCAGCAGGCTATTGTGTATTGGAGATTCTAACCCGAGTCAGTAAAACACAGCAGAAAACTTCATGAGAAATGGAAAGCAGCAGTGATCCTCATAGGTTTGGGCTATGGAGGCAGGGAGGCTTGAAAAAAGGCTGATTTGTCACTGAAATAACTACGGGGAAAATGTGAACTGTGTCTTCCTATACTTAAAACAGGCTTCATGAAGCCTGACATCCTGATAGCAGGCCTTTCAGTCCTCTTGATTTTAGTACATTGTACTTGTCCCATGTATCTGGAGCTCGTGGTTTGTATGTTTGCCCTCTGCACACAATATGCTTGGCCTGTCATCACTGTGACTCTATGCAGGAGCTTCAGTTTGTTGCCACCCTTTGATTTTTGGAAAGCTTCAGAATCAATAACTAAGCAAATGCATGGTCCTTAGGAAGCAAAACTTCATGGTTTCTCCACTCTGCTCAAAATATTAGGAAAGCAAACACCAGAACCCTTACTTTGGGGATTTTTGCCAAAAGAGCTTAGCATTGGCTTTGTAAAGATGCTCCGCTAAGATGCTTAAATATCTGCTGCTGCCAGTGGGAGCAGGACTGCACTGAAGATGTGTTAAAATCCCTTCTCATGTTCCCAGGGCAGTGAGCAGCTGAGTGTCCTCACTCCTGCCAAGTTACTGGAGGAAGAAATGCCATTTTCTTCTGTAAACACACCGTGCTGGGGTTATTCTTCAGATGGGGCACACTGAGCATCTGCAGAGAGCCATGTACAGTGGTGCCAAGTGGCCAAAGACCTCAAAGAGAGGAGGTGAAGATCCCTTGTCTGGGCTTGAGCAGTCAGAGATGTCCAGCTGTCATTAGATAACCCCCAGCTCTCTCATCCCATGTGGAATTGCAGAGGGGAAATGCCTAACCAGGAAAAGGAGGGTTTAGGGATAAAGAGTTGCTCAAAGGCTTTGCCTGCTGCTTGGTGTAGATGGACAAGTGGTGGTTGTCCTGAGCTCTCTTCCTCACCCTCCCAAATTATTACTTCTCCTTCTTGATAGCTTCTTCTTTTTACTGGTTCTTCCATGGTACTCTGTCTTCCATGGTACTGATTCTTTTCGTGGTACAGTCCCAGTCTGTAGGTGGGACTGTCTGAAGTTGTTGCTTGAAGGAGGTTGGCTCCCATCTCATCCCACAGCATTGCTCTTTCATGGACAGGACCTGGAAGACTGCTGACATCTCGTGGGCCTTCCTTGTAACCACATCATGAAAATTCATGCTTAAGAGCTCACATTTCCTAATTACACCCTTTGCAGTCACACATTGGGCCTGGTGCATGCTCAGCAGGGAGAAGGTGGAGGGGGTGCCTACAGACAGAGCAAGAGCCAACGCATTGTAGCATTGGAAATCCTGGGTGGAAGGAAAATGTTTTGCCAGCAAGCATGGTTGAGCAGTAGGACAGCAGCCTGCAGGGACTGAGGGATCTCAGACTTTCATAGAATCGTAGAATCATCCAGGTTGGATAAGGCCTTCAAGATCATCAAGTCCAACCGTTCCCCAGCACTGCCAAGGCCACCACTAACCCCTGGCACTGAGGGCCTCGTCTCCACAGTGTGTGAACACTTGCAGGGACGGTGACTCCAGCACTGCCCTGGGCAGCCTGTTCTAATGCCTGAGCACCCTCTGGGGAAGGAATTGTTCCTAATATCCATCTAAACCTCCCCTCACGCAGCTTGAGGCTGTTTCCTCTTGTCCTATCACTTGTTACCTGGGAGAAGAGACCGGCCACCTCCTGGCTCCATCCTCCTGTCAGGTAGTTGTAGAGAGGGGGCAAAACTTGAGCAGTGCCCTTAGCAGCATGACTGGACTTTGACTAGCCCTGCTCTGAACAGGAGGTTGGACTGGATGACTCCAGAGGTCCCTTCCAGCCTAAGCTCTTCTGTGATTATCTTCTCTGCAAGTGGTTATGGTCAGATTTGCAATTATTTGCAGTTCTCTACTGTGAGGGTGGTGAGGCCCTGGAACAGGCTGCCCAAAGAAGTGATAAATGCCCCATCTCTGGCAAGCGTTCATGGGCAGGTTGGACAGAGCCTTGGGCAACATGGTCCTAGGGTGAGGCGTCCCTGCCCATGGCAGG